AAACAAGACTGGATATTAAAAGAGATCAATTTTATGAAACCTTTAGAAAGTATGTATATTGCTTAAAAAAATATTAAAAACATTTTTTTAAGTTTTTGTTTCATTCCAAATTTTAATAAATGCTTCAAGTAGATTAGTCGATAAAATAAAAAATAAATGGTAATCCCTGAAAAGATTTTTACAATATTATAGAAATTTAAAAAAAGGCTTCTAAATAAAGAATTTACTTCTAGAGATTTTCTAAGGTAAATGATACAATTTCTACTGAAACTAAAGTACAATTTTTAATTCCTGAGATGTTTCAAAATCTTAAAATCGAAAACGTATAGAATTAAAAGAACTATGAAAGAAATTATAGAAAATGCTGGAAGAAAACCCAAGACTTTTTCGAAAAAAGGTGGTACTATTTTATTTTTAGAACTTTTACTAAAACTAGAGTTTAAAAACATTTCCATTCCCAATTCCTGGTATGTTAAATTGAAAACAGATTAATTTTAATTTAGACAGATTTAAAGAAATTAATCTTAACAAATTTCTAGAAAGAGCTTCAAATAAACTCTAGAATTTTTCGAAAATAAAAAATACTATTTCAAACTTAATTTAGAGTTCCAAAACATTCCCATAGATCCTGTTGTATAACTATATTTCATCCATTATCCTATTACCCTCCACTAAATACTCAACTTTTAAATAGTTTTCGGGAATATTGTTTTGGTAACTTCAAGCCGGACCCTGCTAGTAGCCCCTACCACTGACGCCCCTGGCTTTAAGCTGTCCTTCCCTGACTGAACGCTGACTGTGTTTGTTAGTTTGTTGGGCCTGCTGCTTCAGTCTGGTGCTAGTTGCTGGCTGCTGGCTGCTGCCCGTTGTTGTCGTTGTCAAGAACAAAAATAATAATAAAATTTGCTGTCGCTGCGAATATAAACAGGCAATTTTTGTGCCTCATCGCCCCCCAGCCCAGTGCCGTTCCTGCAAAAAACTGCCTCAACGACAGAAAACAGGAACAACAACGGAACAACGGAGACGACGATGGCAGCTGTTTTTAATGTCTGCCCAGCCGCCTAATGGCGCTTAACGTTTCCAAAAAGGGGGCGTGGCTATGGGTGAGGAGGTGGTGGAGGTGGAGGAGGAGGGGACTGATATAGCCCATTGACACTCTGGTCGAGAACAAAACCCAAAAAAAACACAAGAGTTTAGGCAAAATTGTATGTGTGTGTGCCTGGATTTGCGGCAAAAATTGAAAATCATATGCTCATCGTCATTGTCGGCTTTTATTGGCATTTCATGACAGCACAAAGTGGAACAATTTTTTCAAAATTTTAAGAAAAATATAGACACATTTTTTTATTTTAATAATTGAGAGTAGAGTCACTTAGTCAAGTGACTAAGCCTATAAGCGCTCTAAAAAGTTTTAACAGCTTTAAAAACGTCTGTTTAAATCAGGATTTGCTTACATTCAGTCAATACAAAATTTAAAATTTTTTAAAATAAAAAAAAAGGTAACTCAAACCCTAGTCGAACCCTTACTGAGAACATGCAATTATAGCTAAGCAAGTCACTGATTCCATAAACCATTTAAAAAGTTTCAAGAACTGTAAACAAATTGACTCTCAATTTGGGGAAAGATTATTAAATCCTTGAATATCTTGGAAAATGCCTTCTTATTATTTGTAAACTGTTTTTGTTAGCCAAACCGAAAGAAGTTAAACTCGATTTGACCTAAACAAAGCTTATTCTAAAATGGAATTACAAGCTTCTCTGGAACGACGAAACCCTCAAATCCTTGTTGCTGCCAAACTTGCCAAGGTTTTCCTGTTCCTGTTTTTCAAAAAACATAATTTCCTCAACACATACATACACCCACGCACACAAAGGATGGAAAAAAAATGCTTTCTATACAAAATGTGGAAGCCAAAAAGTTGCACAAAATTGCCAAAGTTTTGTTTGCTTATGCATTGCACTGCCCTTGTCAACCGAAAAACCCCTCGATCTACTCGCTACTCAGCTCTCCTCTTAACCCACTAAAAATATGCCCACCCTCTCTAAAATTGCGCCCCCTAATTGTGGGTCCCCCTAGTTGGGGTTGTGGGGTTTTGGTTTTTTTTTTTTTGTTGAAAGAGGGAAAAATTATGTCAGCAGGACGGCAGGAAAATCCAAAGGGTGGGGCGTGTGTAAATTATTTATGTGCCAACTGTCCTTCCCCAACAGGGGCTCTTCTCGGGCCGGCTGGCACGCATGGGTTAAGGCACTTTATAAATAAAAATCATTATACCCCCCGACTTGTGAGCCTGAATTGGAGCATCAGTCATGGGGAGTCTTCAAATGTGCTGTGTGTGATACCCGGTACTTGTCATAAAAAGTTGGCTTTTCTCAGAGAAAACTTTTGAGGTGGGGCAGTTCGACTGCGCTTTGAGAAATTCATACTTTTACTTTGATTTTTTTTCAATTTAATCAATTTTAAAACTAAATTTTGGCCCAAAATAACCAAATCTTTACCTTAAACTCCGAATTATAGCATTTTAGATTAAGGTTAGACTTCGCTCAAAGTATTTTTAGTTGTTTAATATTTTTAGTCATATTTTTTTTTTAGCTCTAAGCTCTAATTCTTACCTTTTCAGACCAGGGTTCTACTACACCAAAAGTACTATTCTTTAAACTTTATTTTCTTGAAAATTTTATAAAAATTGTTTTTGTGGCCCGTTTTTCCGCTTCACTTTCAGCTGGAAAGTCGCGATGGAAGTTTTCGTTTGAAATTAGTACGCATTGTCCTTAATTGTTGGGGCGTATGTTTCAGGGGCGGGGCACTTTATGGGTTTTTTTAGAGGGGGGTTCTTTGGGGGGTTAACCATACACCCATATAGTCATATACCTCTTGTATTTACGTACGCCCGGCCTGGCCGAGAGCCATTGACTTCGTTCCCTGCTGCGTGTTTATTTATTTGACTTGTGCATGTCGCTTTTGGGTGTTAACTTTAATAATTAACGGCATTAATTGCCGCATATGTCACATGTTTGCTTTACCCCACACATACGGTCATGTGTATATACTCTTTATACATTCCCCCGATTTTGCCTTCGGCCTGCATTTGTTGTCCTCCTATAGTCGCATATTTGGCTTCGTTTTTGGAGCTTTTCTTTTTCATTTTTCGCTCCCCTCGTGGTGGCTCCTTTGAAATATTTAAACGCTTATGTCATTGCCAGGCCGGTCATATCCTCCCCCAAAATTTGAAACTCTACGCCACACATTGCATAATTCATAATGAAGCTAAATGGAAAATTATTATGCATTTCTAGGTCTTTTGCTTTGAGGGTGTATTTTGATCCGAAAAGAAAACAAGTTTCAATCGATACATACCTGGGCAGAGGTAATACCATATTTTGATCAAATTTTTTCGTATTTATTCCTCATAATGGCTTTATTATACACCTACTGGAGAGTTTTCAGCTTTCTTCAGGACCACCCAAAACGACAAAAGCGACTTTTCCTTTTATATTTTTATTTATTAATCGAGGTTCATTAGAGACGGCAATAAAAACCGGTAAGCAAGCCCTTGCTTCGATTGCTTCGATTTTGAAAAATGCTTTGTTTATCGTTCGGATGCGAGTTTCGACTCCAAAATGTTTTGTCTCCTAATGAGAACTAATGAATGCGTTGGAGTCTCGGCCACCGGTTTTCAGGTGGGTTGTGCAACCCACACACGAGAAAAGAAGAAACTGGTTTCCAGCGATCTGCTCTGATTCGGAATGGGGGAGACTGCTTGACTAATGCATTCGAGATTAAGATCAGAGATCCTATCAAAGCTCAAACTAATGGACCCAAATGTGATGACAATAAATTGGTTTCATGATTATGGGAAGCTAAAGTCCAATTTATGGAATACGATAATCCATATTGAAGTCATTTAGATGTCTATCTCTTACCAAATGATATAATTTTATGAAAATAACTGACTATGATTAAGACATATATAGATTGGTTGGAATACTTAAGATGCTTTACTGGCTTTAAGAATATTTTTCACACTCCCATACCCCCTGAAGAGCAAAAGTCAGAAAAGTTCTCAAATATTTCTGGTTTTGCTTTCCATTTTGTGGCTTCTGTAAAGTGTTTTTTCAGGGACATGGGGACAGAGACGCTTAAGGCGCTTATGGCAAAGAAAAGTTCAAAAATCTCATTAAATACAACAATATAAACATGCAACAGCAACAAGAACAATATACATATACAAGTAAGTACTAAATATTTATGCCATGCTGTAAGCTGTAAAAGTTCATTTTTTTGTTCGCTTCGCAACGCAGAGTGTAGCATATAAAAATTGTGTAAAATAATAAAAATAATTTCAACGACAACACACAGACATACACATGCATGCAACACATTGTCGCCCCAGACGCCATTTTGTTGTTGCGTGTAATGGATGCCGTTATATGCCAGAGGAATGGAATGGTAGAATGGGAATCGGGAATCGGAATCGTAATCGGAATCGACGGAATCGTGGGTAATCGAGGGGGATTTTCATTCAGAAACCCGTTGGTTTGCGCTTCGCCTTTTTGCATTACTTCGACTTGAATGCACTGGACTCTCTCTCCAGTGGCATAAATATAATTATTTTGTTATAAAAATGCAATCCACAAAGAGAAAAGAGAAAAAACTGAAAGCTAGAACGCATTCGTTTATGCGACACTTGTCCTTAAGCATTTTCTCTCTGCCACATGAGCTGGGTTCGCCAGGGAATGTTTATTGCCCAGACATTACCCGTGGCTGCCCTTTTGTGCTTTTTGCGCCCTTCTACGCGCTTCTCATAAATATATGCTGGCTATGAAAGGTTTTTATGCAGACTCGCCTAATAGGATTGAAAATTTAAAATGGCAATGGCTTGTTGCAACTTGAACGATTCGACACCAATGCTCAATTGATTTATGACCTTTTTTTTGAAAAAACAATTACCATACACGCATAGAAATTAATCTTTATTTTCTATAATTGCTTATCATTGCAGTTTTTAAAGCTCGGGCTTGAAGGAAACTAGAAAACTTAAAGGAGACAGGAGGTAAGTGCAAACCGTAAAGCTGTCAAAGGCATAATAAAGTACCCTTGCCTAATTTGCTAGAGTGTTACAGGGTTACAAAATATTATTACAAATAAAATATTAAATACTTATACTAATAATAATACTAATAATAATGTTTTTTTTATTATAAGTAGAGTTACTACACTCTTAAGCTTTCTTTTATTATTTGTTAGACTTATGTCCTTTATTTTTTTCGAGTGTCTACCCTGGCATATCCTTTCTTCACGTTTCCAGTCAACTGATTATAATAACACGATTTATCAAATGCACGTAAATTACAATAAATTAAACACGAAATTAATATTAATGACAAAGACAGGCGCCCCCACACAGTGGGTGGTGGTGTGTGCTTCTGATATCTTGTCTTTGTATATGAATATACATACCTACGACTATATGTGTATGTGGAGAGACAATTGCCAAATTAAGTGCATGCCTCTGTTATGGCCACGCCCATATTCATGCACTTGGCCATCTTAAATATGAAAATCGTTCTTTTGATTGCAAATTTGCTTATTTGCATTGCATTTGCGAGACCCGCAGTTAATAAGCTTCGGACATAATAGTCCTTGCACACACACACACATACTAGTACATAAAGGATAAACACACACACACAAGCACAGTCTCATCGAGTGAAAGCCAACAAATGACCAAGCGATTGATCAGGGCAACCTAACTGAATGAGAGCCAAAGGAGGCATTTTCCGAAATGGCGGTGGACGTCGGAGCGGTGGAGAGCGATGGTCAGGAATGCCTGCATTCCGTTGGTGGAGTGGGCGCCAAAGTGGGCGGGGCAAAAGGTTTATGGCTTCAGAGCCATTACGAGATGTGCCACCAAAGTTACAAAGCTTTTAAACAATACTTAAGCTTGATTTTTTTAAAAGATTGGGCATAACCCGATTCTTAAACCTTTCTGTGCGATTCTCCAACATGTTAGGTGGTAAGATGTCCCTTCTATACGATTCTCAAAAATCTTAAATAGACAGAAACGAATAATTCTTCCATTATCCATGATTTCCTTCATACAAGCTGTTGCCGCAACTTACAGCTCATCCCTAATTTGTGATAGCTGCAAGGACTTGCAAAATTTTGCATATTTGATGAGCCTGCCCCAGGAATTGCTCTCTCGGTCTTTGTTTGCCCGGGTCTCTGGGCCCTCGATGGCCGGGCCGGATAGAGTCCAGGGCCAGGACGCTACCTACCTGGCCTGTTGAGTTGCAATTTGGCTAACAAATTATGCAACAGCAATAGCAACAGCAACAGCAGCAGGTCCTACTGACCCAACTACAAGGGGAGTATGGAGACGGTACATATTCGTACATAGAGAAGCGTTGACTTTACGGCCAGTCGTCCAACAGCCCTGTTAAATAATTGTAATTTATGGCATTTTACACAAATAAATATATGGAAATCAATAAATTTACCTCGCCATATACACACACATGAATGCTAGCCCCCCTCCTGGGAACTGGGGTTCGGTTTTTGGTTTTTGGTGGTGCATCGCAAATTGCTTTTTGCTGCCCAGCCCGACACTCGCACTCACTTTTATTGTTATTTTTGGATTTTAACAATTATTTTATGTTGTCACAGTTTAAAAAGCTATCCAGCCCCGATCCACAAGGGCATTCAAAATTAATTTTTCTTCATTTTTTTCATCAAATAAACAATATTTTGCATTTCAATTGCGGTTTTTTTTGTTGTGGCCGGTCCAGGAGGAGAGACATATGAAGACAAACACTGTAGTATATGACATTTTGGTGGCAGAGTCACTCCAAAACACTCGTATAGTATTTTGGGGAAAAACAAAACCTTTAATTGACTCAAAACTTGAATGGAACAAATCGATTTCAATTTTGATTTCGATTGCGATTCCTCAAAGCTCTTAATTTAGTCGATTTGATTTGAATTGCAATACTGGTCAGTCGATACTGGACACTGGATAGTGAATAGTAGATACTGGATAATGAAAAACCTTTTTACTTTTTATTTGAATGTATTTTTTTCTAATTTTGTAAATTTCCTCGTTGGATTTTAATTCAATTTTCCCTTTTTGCATATTTGAAAAACAAAAACTACCCATACAGAAAAACACATTTTAGTGAAAAAAAAAATACTACATACATGTATATGTATGTATTTCATAAATATGTTTGCTTATGACTCCACAATCGTGACCCATCCCCTCCTAAAACCGAACCGCCTATCGTAAAAATTTTTATGTTGTGTTGATTTTTGTTTGGCTTTCCAATTTTGTTTGTTTGCTGTTTTATTTTTTCGTTATTCGTTTTCGTTTCCTTCCACATTTTTTTTTTATTTTGTCATATTGAAAAATCGAAATTAATTAAATTGTGTCAAAGTTATTAAATTTTATTGTCATTTGACATAAATAAACAAATGTCGTGGGCAATACGCTCTAAGCCTATAAACAGACACCCCATTGCCCAACTCTTTCAATTAGAATTTATAGAAATTTATGATTGTTTATTTGTAATATTTTTTCCAGCCTTATTTTGTATTTTTTTTCTGTTCTTTGCCGACGTCTGTCTGGCGTTGGGCCCTTGGGCCCCCGCCTCTGGTTCCTCCTTGTTTGCCCCCAAATCAGCCCCATTCCAATCGTTAGTCACGCGTTTGCCGATGCCGCCTGGTGTGAAAAGTAATTATGAACGCTTTATGACAGCCGGTCAACTTCATTCAATGTCCATTAATTTGGCCACACTTGACCGTGTTTTGGCTATCGGTTTTGAGTGGGGAAAATGGTTACATTTCTTACTTGACATGATGCATGGGGAATGGTTTAAGTTTTGATTTCTAAATTATACAAAAGTTTCAAAATAAAATTATGATTTAATCTTAATCTTGCTGAGATTTGGTCACATTTGAAAGTTATTATTAGTTTTGGTCTCACTTAACCGGATTTTGTCTTTAATATTTATTTGTTTGGAATTTCCTCTAGTAAATGTTTAGAAGTTTTAAATTGAAACACTGGTTCAATCAGAATTATTGTAAAACGGGTAACTCTTAAATTAAAACTTAAAGGCTTGAAACTTAACCTAGAAACTTATTTTTTATATAATTATTAAGAACAAATCTAAGCATTACAGTTGCTATTTTTTAGATTTTGGCATATTAAGTATGTGTTCTATTTTCAATAATAATTTATCTTTTCAACTATCTCACCAATTATTCATAAATCATAACCAAACTTAAGCTAGAAACTAATGCTTTTCTAAAATAATTATGAGCCTGGTCAGCTACAGCTATAATTAGATTTGGGCACACTTTACAGTATTTGATTTATGTTATTTATCCAAAAATACACCAAAATATTTGAAATGCAATCAAAAATGATGAAATATGAACTAAAGTTTCCCCAAAATATCACGTATTGTGCCATAATATTTTGGAATATTTCGAAAGAGCCCTAGATCTTGAGTTTTGATTGCCCGACAACTTCTTAAGCTTCACCTTCACGTGTGCCTGTGCAGCAGCAGTCAGTCTCTGGGATATTTGTTTATTTTCGTTCTATGTTTGTTGTCTCAGCTGGACACCGAAGTAGTGCCGGAGTTTTGGGGATCATCACGTCACCAAAACTCTGGCGACGCGACGGTCACGTTTGGATGACGATGATGATGATGATGACCCCAAAAAAATGTACCAGAAACTCATTCACTCACTCACTCCTCTCCCAGGTACTAGGGGGGGTACTGCGCGTTTATGCGTTTGTTTGTATATAGCGTGTTTTTAATAAAATTTATTGCATGCCCTTCCTCCACCATTCCTGCACTTGGTCATATTTGTCTAATAGAAAAATTATGTGGGCTCCAAGACGGCGTTAATTTTTATTATTCATCCCTCGACTTCTTGGCCCCGCCGCCGGCCCTTTAATTATAACATAAAGTTTTTATTGGAATATCTGGAGAGGTGAGGCCCACCCCCGAAAATGGGCATTGCGAGATGAATAAATAGTCGCACTATTAATTTATTATTGCATGCAGAGACATTAAAAATGCATACGCCAATCAGGCTAATTTAATTTTCCATAAAAACTACAAACTGACACCGAAAGCTGCACAAAAGCCGACAATAAAACTCATAAACATTATAATCATAATAATAATATTTAAACTCGAAAGTCAACTAACAACTAACACGAATAATGACAATAATTGAACTGTCAATTTCAGGAAAATGGCAAATTGAAAATCTAACTGGCAATTGGCCGGGACATGGGCGTGGGTGGCATTTTCATTTTTAATTCAATTGTGTAATTTTCCATTTAATTATGCATTAAAAAATATGCTTTACTTTTTTATTATTAAACAAATTTCAGTATTAAACTTTAAAAGACTTTATAGTGTATAGTTAGAATTCCATTAGTGGGCCACTTTAGGGCCATTTTCTAGGGCCCTGTTCCATTGCACCTTTTTGCTGAAATGCATCCTGTGTTCGGGCCATCAAATGTCGGCACACACGCCACTGGGGCATTAGCCGAAAGGGCTCTTTATCTGAAGGCCTCCCTTGGCCAGCTCCCTTGCCCAGAGTGTTGCGTTTTTAATAAAATATTTCCAGGGCGTTATTTGTTTAATGCGCTTCATCAAGTCCTACCAAGGAGTTTTGATTTAATATCTCTAAAAAAGCAAGGAAATCAATATATTTTAAAGAGGACTACAATGTTCAAGGCTATACCTTATTTCTACTAAAATGTTCCCCTTTACTGACCACAAATGGTTCACCTTTCCCTGCTTTGTAGCCGCGTGTGCCGCGTGTCTGGCAGGTGCCGGCTTTCAATTTGCTTTCAATCGCATTGAAATAAAACTCTGAAAGCGAAACCGCCAAAGGCCCAACCCGCAAGAGACACGCATATATTGTATGTACCTATATATAAAATATACAATATAGTATCGCAATATCAGTGGTCTGCGACTGGGACTGGGTCCGAGGAAAAACGTTAATAAATTACGACGAGCCGAGATTATA